CACACACACACACACACACACACACACACACACACACACACACACACACAGACAGATGGACCGAATGGATTCTATTTATACACCATCAATGTTATCGCTAATGATTAAGAGTAAATCCCTGCAAAAAATCAACCCCGCCACTTGAACTAAAACAAAGGTGCTGGAAAAGCTCGGCAGGTCTGGCAGCACCTGTGAAGGATAAAACAGAGTTAACGTTTCGGGGCCAGTGACCCGTCCTCAGAACCTTCCTCCTGCCACTCGAAGGTCCCCTGTCTTCACATGATGAATACAAGACAGTAGATCTGGAAATTTGCTGGTATAGTTAGTACAAGTGTTCTTTTGAAAAATGTGTGTTAATACTTCTTTTCTCTCATGTCACAGCTTGTCCATTGATTTATCTCAACGGATTCACTACCCCAGGTAAGGCATTCATTGACTGTTCTCTTTCTGAATCTTTCATTATCACACTCTTGATTGAAGTTAAGAGTGATATGATCCAGTACTACAATGGAATGTTCATTGTGATTTATATTATTTGGATAAATGGCTGGTTTATATTTTAAAAATTATGACCTCTCATTACAAGCTGTTTTTACACTGCATGTGCACGATATGTTACAGCTCTCTCCATCATATGTCTACTCTTCTTTCTAAACTGTCTCTCCTTACTTGTGCCTGTGTTTTCCTCGGTCATCTTTTAACTGTTTCACCCCTCACCTCTCTTAACATCTCACCAATCTCTTCCCTTCTCACTGCTCTGCACCATCGCCCTTCTCACACCTCTCCACTTCTGAACACTAGCTCATCTTTACCTGTATCTCTCTCTTTACTCCATCTCATGATCTATTTCTGTTACCCAGTGTTACACTTTTTGGCCTGTTAGTTGGTTTCTTAAGAAGGATTTATTCACAATGTTTCTTGCAACTGCTTTAGATATAAAATGAGATGTCATAGGGCCATCCAAAGAGGAGATGATGAAGATCTGGTTGATTTTCAACAGAATTCTGATAAAGTTGTAAAAAGCAGCAAAAGCAGTTCCATGGAAATGTCTGGCAGGAGAGGTGTCACTCTTCTACCAGGGAATAAAGTATGAGAATCTTCTTGAATCATCAGGCCATTGAGTTTTTGACACAATATGAATTGAGTGGTTGTTTTACACCATCCAAATACAATAAAAATGCCTAACAGATTACCATATGTTTCCCTATTCTGAAGGCTACAGAATGCTGGAGTCATTTAATCTGACAGAGAAGGATGCTGCATCAGTTCCAGGAGTCTCGATGGGGTCAGGGACTTTCAATGGCTATACGTCTTACAGCCTTCATAAGGATGCACACCTCCTTCAACCTACCATGTAAGTCCAGGTGCCACCATATCATATCAGCATATCATCTAAGTGTAACACTTCAGTGCAGTTACAAGGGAGTGCAGCACGGCTAGAGCCATTTTTCAGGTGAGACGTTAAATGGAAGGCCTCTCGTGCAAAATTACAACCCTCCCCCATTACCATTTTTGAAGAAGAACAGGGAATTTTTCAATCGTATCCCAGCCAACCAACATCAGTACACAAAGGATAATCTGGTTTCTTTCACATTGTTGGTTTTGGGACCTTCTGCTTAAATTGTCTGCCACATTTCTGACATCCCTACAGGATGGAAACAGGCCATTCAGCCCAACAAGTCACACTAACTCTCTGAAGAGCATCCCACCCAGACCCATCCCCCTACCCTATCCCTGCATTTCCCATGGCTAACGTATCTAACCTACACATCCCTGAGCACTATGGATAATTCAGCATGTCCATTTGATCTCACTTGTACATCTTTGGACTGTGAAATGAAACTGGAGCACCTGGCAGAAACCCACGAAGACACAGGGACAACATGCAAACTCCACAGACAGTTGCCCGAGGGTGGAATAGATCCTGGGTCCCTGGTATTGTGAGGTAGCAGTGTTAACCACTGAGCCACCGTGCCATCACTGTGGCCTAATCCCAGGATGCCAGCTTGCATGACACAGGTGGGAGAGGATAGGGAGGAGGGAGTCATAGATGTCTGGGTGGCTAGAGAGTGGGGACAGTGCAGCAATGTCAGATGCTTAGACAGGGATGGCTCCCAGTAAGAGCCCACTTGCATCTACTTGGTACCGGTTGCCGTCATTAGACACATTATTCCAGCCAATGAGGAATTACTTCTCCAAAGCTGCAGGCAGGATTCTCACATCAGGCTCTTTCTACTCCAAATTTAGTTTGGGACAATTTTCCTAATGTTGGGAATCTGATGGAAGTACTCCGAACTGGTTCTCCTAACACTCCTTCCAGTCCCATCCCCCGGCCATCATACCAGCTCTGGTTGTCTCCACGAAATCAAGGCATGTAGTTCACTCCAAAACAACAGGTTACAGTGCCTCAACAGATGATTTTTATGACTTAAGTTAATAAGAACCAGAACTTTCACAAGAGAATGAGTTACACAATCTGGAATACATCACCTGAAAGGACAGTGGAAGCAGATTTAATAGTAATTTATAAAAGGGAATCGGTTGAAAAGGAAACATTTACAAAGCTATTGGGAAAGGAAAGGGAAACTCTTTGAAAGCACTGGCGCAGGCCTTTACACTCTGTATGGACTCCCTCTGTGTTCTTTGAGTCTCTGACTGTCAATGGAATTGAAGCTAACCCAAGCCTATTTCATAGAACAATGTTGTTACAAACAAAAGAAGTTCTCATAAATCTTGGTGAAATGGTTGGAAGTGAAAGGACAATGTTTGCTTATACAGAATGAATCCGCATCAAAGATGAGCATAGATGTGGGCATGCTATACCTCAAACTTAGTGAAGTATCATGAATAATTAATGTACTTGGGTTATACGTGAGGAAAGCCAAATCCACAATTATGATAAATTAAAGGCTAGCAATGATTGTCAAGTGGTTAACCAACCAGGCTAAAAAACAATTGCTCATCACATTTCATATTTAGCCAATTCTATTGTACTCTAAAAGTTCATGTATATATAAGGTCCCTCTGTCTCGCTTACTGACTCCTTCTTTCACTCTCCCCTAATCTTTTATTCTCCAGTTTTTCTTTCTGACAACATTAGGAAGGATCTTCAATCTTCAGGGAAACTGTACATTTATTCATCTCCAATGAATTTCCCAGGCTTCTGATATCTCTATAGCTGCAACCCACCTCATTCCTCCTTTAAATTGCTCACTGTTGCATTATCTTTTACTGTCTCTAGATATTGTCACAGTAGTTTTACATTTGAGTTGATTAACTCCCACAAATCATGGATTTGGGTTTCCTAGGAATAAGTATAAACTAAAGCTGATAAATACTCCATGAGACATCAGCAGCAGAGTGATAGCCCTCATTGCTTACCTTGAAGGTATCTGCTGACAAAGATCTGTCCCGTGGATTTCACTTTACTCGATGGTAGTTTGAATCTGGCATGGAGTCTGGGGGAGATCCAGCTAAAGTGAAAGCATTGATTTACAAAATCATGGCGGGGGGAGGGGGCAGAGAAAAGGTGAAGAACCAAGGTCTTTCCCTAAGTGGGGGAGTCCAAAACTAGAGGGGCACAGATTTCAGGTGACAGGGGCAAGATTTAAAAGGGACCTGAGGGGCAACTTTTTCACGCAGAGGGTGGTGCATATATGGAATGGGCTGCTAGAGGAAGTGATAGAGGATGGTACAATTACAAACTTTAAAAGAAATTTGGATAGATACGTGGATAGGAAAGGTTTAGAGGGATATAGGCCAAATGCAGGCAAATGGGACTAGTTCAGTTTAGGAACCCTGGTCAGTATGATGAGTTGGGCTAAAGGGTCTGTTTCCGTGCTGTATACCTCTATGACTCTAATGGATATGCATAGGTTAATCTGAGGAGTTCACACTAGTGGTATAGAGTTTAAGGTTAAATGGATTATACAAGGTCTCTGTAATGCCAATTAACATAAGAAAATAAGAGCTAGGAGCAGGATCTGGAGTAGACCATTCAGCCCCTCAAACCTACTTCTATATGATAATGGCTAATCAATCCTTGACCTCAATTCACTTTTGCTCCCCCCCGCCATTCTCCATAACATTTTAACCCATTACTAATTACAACCTGTCTATCTCCTCGTTCAATTTATGCAATGCCCCAGCATCCATCACAGTCTGAAGTAGAAAATTCCACAGATTCACAACCGTTTGTGAGAAGTAATTCCTCCTCATCTCTGTTTCAAAATCTGCCACCCCTTATTCTCAGAGAGCATTTGATAAGATGCCCGTCAAGAGACTTGTTACAAGAATTAAGGTATCGTGTGATGAAGGGAATATAACAAAGGAATGATGATGTATATTGCTTGACTGAATTGGTTGTACTCTTGACAGTGAGTAAGAAACTGGAGGCTTTAACTCCATTCCATAGTGTTGAGCACATAATGTGAATCAACACTTCTGTGGAGCATTGAGGGAATGCTGCATTATGACAGCCCTGTTCTTCAGAGGAGATGACATACTGAGGTTATGTCCTTTCTATTCACAATTTTAGATATCCATTGGGAGCTGAGGACCATAGGAACAGGTGTAGCCATTCAGTCCCTTGAGCCTGTTTCACCACTCAATGAGATCATGTCTGATCTGTGGCCTAACTTCCCTTAATCCTTTTACTTAACAAAACGTGATCTATCTCATATTTACAGCCAGTTGCTTAGACTATTGAATCTGCTGCATCAAACTTTTCCTTTGAGGCAGTGTCCACAAAGAGTTTTATTTTCTTGGAAAACAAGTGATATGAAAGGACGTTGGGAGTGAACAGCAAAGCGAGGCTCATGTGAAGAAAGGGAACTTAACAGGCCAAATGGCCTGATTCTGACCCTCAGCCATGCTTACACTGTGACTTCATGTAAACAAAGTAATTACGAGGACAGTAGAGAAACACATGCTGATATTGAAAAAAAAAATTGGCGTAGTTTCATCTGTCTAAGACCGAAGATGCATGTGACAGTGCTCCTAGCTAGAGGTTTCCTTGATTTGTATACTGATGTCAACTCCCCCACTTCCTGAATTTTGATGAATAAATACATGGACGAAACATGGAAGTATGTCATATTTGCAATTTTCTGAAGATTTTGAAATTATGAAGAAAGCTAGTTTGCTCAAAAATGCCATTTCTTCACATATTTCAGTGGCCTACTTTATGTACACAACAGAAACAGAGGGTTTTGTGTCCATGTTCACTTTCCCCATTCACCTTTTTTACGCATTTCTACATGTTTTCAGCCTTCTCTTTCCCTTCATAGCCCTGTTGCTGAATGAGGATTTACTTCTCAGTTGAAAATTTCTCTGTAATTTCCTCAGAAATGATTAGTCAAGCTCAGTAGAGTCCAAATCTTTGGAATAATTAAATTCACTTTCCATTTCAGTTACGGTGACTGAAAGTGAACTCATTGTATGTGATTATTTCCAAAGGTTGTGTTAAGGTACAATAACAATCCAGTTCCTAATTTTATATCGCACCGTCTTTTTGTTTGTTTAAATTGTGATTGCTCACTGAAGCATTGTTTATTATGAAACAGTGACGTTCACCCTGATGGTCTGCCACCAACGTATACCATCATGATGCTCTTCCGACTTCTCCCAGCAACTACCACCGAGCCTTTTGCCATTTGGCAGATCACAGACCAAGATTACAAACCAGAAGTTGGAGTGCTCCTAGATGGTGAGCTGTGGTTTCTAATACATGAACAAGTAGCTTGTCAGTAATTGGGCAGGGGATACCCTAGTAGTATTAGTGCTGGATTGTTAATCCAGAGATCCAGGTAATGTTCTGGGGACCTGGGTTCAAATCCTGCCAGAGCAGATAGTGGAATTTGATTTTGATAAATATCAGGAATCAAGGGTCTAATGATGGCCATAAAACAGTTGCCCAATTGTTGGAAAAACCCATTGCTTCACTAATGCCTTTAAGGGGGCCAATCTGCCATCCTTGCCTGATCTGGCCTACATTAGAAAAACAGATATCACAGCTGTGGGTCACTAGTGAGACTTTGGATCTTTCTCTTAATCCTGAAATCTGCTTTGATTTCTATTTCATTTGGCAGACCCATTGAATCCATCTACGTATTTCTAGACATGAAGGATAGAAATTGCTGAACTGGAGTGCTGAACATTTGCAACAGGTCCATCAGCATCTTATGTTTATTTGCTCCTGTGTTGTGGGCAGTGCTAGCAATTTGTATTGGCTATCTTTACTTGCCTTGGATCAGTGAAGACTTGCGTAGTTTGGGACTGGAGTAATGTGTAAAACTCACTAGGCCAGGGCAGCAGATTAACTTTCCCTGAGGAATTTGAGTGAAGCAGTTGGGTTCATACAGCGTTCAGTATTTTTCCAAATTGAATTTAATTTAACCAATTTCTATAACGTGATTTAAAAGTTCCCAACCTTATTAAAAAAAATCCTTCAGTGCTGTATTCAGCCAGACCTGACAGGGTTATGGTTTGAAATCCAAATACTTCAAGGGAGGTTCTACCCGAAGAGACCCATTTGCTCAAAGAGGTTCAGTGCTTATTAGAAATAAAGGACCAGGAATAGATGATTCTATTCCTCAAGCTCCTCAAGCTTGCTCAGTCTTTCAATTAAATCATGCCTAACCTGTATCTTAGCCTCTATTGGTTTCATGATCCCTTAATTAGCTTACCTAACAACAAACTGAACAATACTCCATCCAGCCACATTCACAGGAAGGCAAAAACATAGGAACAGGAGTAGGCCAATCAGCCCTTTGAGCCTGTTCCATCCTTCAATGAAGTCGCGGCTATTCCGTGGCCTAACTCCATATTACCTGCCTTTGACCCATATCCCCAAACATCTTTGCTCAACAATAATTTATCTATTAAAACAAAAGTTCTCAGGAAGGGTCACTGGACCTGAAACGTTAACACTGATTTCCCTCCAAAGATGCTGGCAGACCTGCTGAGCTTTTCCAGCAATTTCTGTTTTTGTTGTTGTTCATAATTTATCTCTCTCAGATCAAAATTAACAACTGAGCCAGCATCCACTGCCATTTGTGGAAGAGAGTTCCAAACCTCTATCACCCTTTTTGTGTAGAAGTGCTTCCTAACATCTCTCCTGACCAGCCTGGCTCTCAGTCTCAGACTATGCCCACTAGTTCTAGAATCTCCAACCAGTGGAAATAGTTTATCTTTATCTACTCTGTCTTTTCCTGTAACTATCTCGAAGACTTCAATCAGATCACCCCTTAACCTTCTAATTCTGAAGAAAACAGGCTACTAATTTCAGATAACAAGGTGTAGAGCTGGATGAACACAGCAGGCCAAGCAGCATCAGAGGAGCAGGAAGGCTGACGTTTCGGGCCTCGATCCTTCTTCAGAAATGCAGGCTACTAATTTCCTTCTCTCTCCAAGTCTCAATCATACCGTCCCAGCTGTTCCATGAATTGTATTCCAATAATTAAATACATTTTGCACACGGAGTCTGATCATCATTTGTTAATTTCTTATTTCCAAATCACACCCTCCTGGTGTTTCCAATCTTGCAAAATTCTGAACAGTCTCCCTGTGCAGTTTAGAAGATGGATGAATTCAGTACAACATGCTTTTTATTTAATATATGAGAATAAAAAAACACTTATTTATGGTATTCCCCAAACCATAGGCAACAGTAAAACACTGTCGTACTTTAACAAGGATGAGAGAGGAGAATCTCAAACAATCACGTTTGACAATGAATATGTGAAGAAACTCTTCTATGGAAATTTTCACAAGGTCAGTGTTTATTTATCTTTTATTCTGCTGATGACTTTTTAATTCATCCTCAGTGCAGCCTGTTTATTTTCTTGTGATTAGGTCATTATGTTGCCATGAATCATTGAGGAGACAGAATTTGCTGGAATGTAGCCTCTAGACATGTCGTGTGGGATGCCTCACAAATTTGTGTTGTGGCTGCACTTCTTCTGATTTTTACTTCACTTATTTTTGAAGGTGTTGACTTTCACCAGGGGAGGCTTCATGTGCCCTGGCAGACATTATCATGGCATGTCTGAAATTGCCATTCTTCTAATCTAAACACAGCATGGAAGACAGAACCATTACATCCCCACCCTCACTGGGTCCTGTATAAAACCCAGTACAACTCTGCGTAACAATCACGTGGGCAAATATAGCTCAATTTATAATCCCCTGCCTCGCCCAGAGATACTGAGGCCAATTGGAGAACATCAATTGCTGCCTTAGCTGAAATCATGACCATCCTTTATTGTGGTGTTGATAACTCAACACAGGTCTCTTCAGTTTCCTGTTGGACATCTCCTGTAAAATATGTAGTCAATGTTCATTCTTTGCTTTATAAAACATTGTGAAATGTAACTTTTTTTGTGTTGAAGTACCATTTTTAATTTTGGAACTTTTTTAGCAACTCCTGTAGTTAGAATTTGTTAGGCTAATGCTTTTATCTGACCTGCTGTAGTGGAAATTCAATGAACCAAGGCCAACAGCTGTCCTACTTCATGACAGAAGCTCAAACTTGTATTTATACCAATCCTTTCACAATGTCAGGAGATTGTAGAGAACTTTACAGTCAATGAAATACTTTGAAGTATCACTATTGCAATGTAGGCGGTATTGCAGGTAATCACAAAATACTGCTGGAAATCTGAAACAAACACAGAAATGGTTGGAGAAACTCAACAAGGCTCACAGCATCCATGGAGAGAGAAACACGGTTAATGTTACATAAGATGGGTTGTACCACACTTGAAACATTAACTCTGTTTCACTCTCCACAGATGCAGCCAGACCTGCTGGCTTATGGAAAGTCGCCTAGTCTAAACACTTAAATCATGTGCGGGAAGTTCACCTGAGATTAAATTGGATAGCTGCTTTTGTTCATTGGAGTATGCCAACTTTGTGCCATCAGCTGATTTGAATAGATTCAGCATCGAGCAATCATTAACTCTTCTGTTGATTGGCAGGGCTCATCAGTTTGAGCCAATATCACAAAAGCTTACTTGTGCTATGTAAACATAACCTGCATTGCCTAAAGCTAGCTTTCAACACCTTTCTCCTTTGAGATAGTCAACAACTTAAAACTCAGGCCAAGCAGTGGAAGAGCACCAAAAGCGCAGTGATGGTAAAGACGCTTCGTCATTTGATTTCAGACTCGCACTCCAGCTCAGACGTTGTCCATAATTTACAGGAGAGCACAGAGATGGCTCTGTGTATATGCAGTCACTGGTCAAAATGTCTCCCTGCACATGGATGTGGCCTCCTGCTGAGAACCATTCCCCTCCCACTTCTCCCTCTTCCTTTTTCCAGCTTGCCCTGCTCTGAGAGGCCTCTGTTTATTCTCATGCTGTGTTCCAAGGAGACTGTCAGCTATCGCACCCATGCCTGGCCATAATGAGCTCATGCAGAAGTCTTGAAGTCAGCAAAAAGCCTATTTTAACACATGCCATACCACTCCCTTTAGAATTTTGAGTCTTGAAACACCTTTATAAAACATCAAATAGTTGGAGAATCATACTGAAGAAAAAGGAATGAATAGCATTTAGAGACTGCTTTTCCTTTTTTATTGGAGAGGTGACGGCTACGTGGTATTATCACTGGACTGTTAATTCAGAATCCCAGGTAATGTTCTGGACAACCAGGTTCGAATCCCATTCCTGAATCCCTTGAGGAGATAAGCCACGGCTGACAGACTTACTGACCCAGAATCTACTGGCCTGTCATTGGCTGGGAAGCTAACGGTGACGGCAACGATGGGGCAAGACCTTTGCTCGCTTGTCATTGAGCTGATTGGTGATAAATTGGGTCAGTTATCCTGACAAAAGATGAAATAATTTAAAATGATGAGTGAATTCTGACCTCAGTTAATGCTTCAGGTTAGTGACCTTTCAACAGGACTGGGAAATATGACAGACATCCTCTGATTAACTGTCTAAGTTTAGAAAATACATAAATAATCATGGACTCCACGAAGTCCTGGAAAAAAAAATTGCAGTACAAGCATTTTCTGGTTCAGCTAACTCCAGAACATTCATCATTGTCATAGCCCCTCTGTGTAAGTACAGTTCTATTGCTTATAATGTTTTCCCCTCACCCAGCTCGCTCTATTTCAACATAAATTAATGTAATCCCATGGAATTGGTGAGTGCCCATCTCATGAAACTTGGCTTCATGTCTTGCTTTAGGTCCATTCATTCCCTGGCCTTTCATTCATTGATCTTTGGCCCATTCCCAGTTTCCCAGTCGACAGCTTCCTTCTTTTCCCATTTTAAAAGCAATCCGGCCAACTGTTTCACTTTCGCTTACAGATTGGTAATATATTAAAGGGGAAGAAATCTGAGTTAGTGGGCTCAGAAATAGTGCACAATATTTCCCAATATAGCATTCAAAACAAGAGTCAAGCATTGCTGTTATTAATTGAATCGGAGACAGTAGGAACTGCAGATGCTGGAGAATCCGAGACAACAAGGTGCAGGG